CGCGCGTCGCGCTCCGCGCGCCGCGCCGCGCGCTCGCGGCCCCGCCGCGCCTCGAGCGGCGTCAGGCCGAACGTCCCGTCCGCCCGCGCCGCCTCGGTCGCCGCGGCAAGCTCCTCAACAGGCAACTCAAAGGGCGGGCTGAACGCATAGAGCGACCGATCCGGGAACGCCGGCAGTGACACCGAGTGGCGCGCGAGCGTGCCGGGGCGGCCACGGCCGACCTCCGCCAGGAGACCCCCATACATGACGCCGCCGGGCGGCAGCCACGCGCCCTCCGGCCCACCCAACGCCGCCTGCTCCTCTGCCTCCTCGTCCTCCTCCTCATCCGCCTCCTCATCCCCCTCCTCCTGCTGCTGCTGACCATCCTGCGCCGGCTCCCTCGGCCCCACCCCGCCAGGGCCACACCCCGCACGCGGGCCCCCCGGTCGCCGCGCCCCTGCGCCCCGCCGCGCCTCCTCGGCTGCCGCCACCTCCGCGAGCGCCCCCGCGAGGCTCAGCGGCGGCCGCAGCGGCGCGGGGCGCAGGACAAAGCGGTAGCCCGCGACGCGGGTGCGGCCGGGGACGCCGTCGCAGCCGGGGTAGAGCAGCGCCGCGTCGAGCGCCGCGACGCGCCACGCGAGCGCCGCCGGCGTCGGCGGCAGCCAGGCCAGAGGGTTGTCCTCCAGCGCGACCGCGCCGCCGCCGCTCGCTGCCGCGTCCGGCTGCTGCTGCTGCTGCTGCTCTCTGTCTCGCTGCTGCTCCCCAAATTGCGGGTCTCCCTCATGCTGCTGCTGCTGCTGCTGCTGCTGCTGCTGCTGCTTTCGTCGCCGCCGCTGCTGCCAGGGGCACCACGCGCCCCGCACCAGCGGCGGCACCGGCCGCCAGCCGCGCGCGAGAAGCTTCCGGTCCACCGCCGCCTCCAGCCGGCCCAGCAGCCGCCGCAGCACCCCCAGGTCTTGGGCAGCCGCGACCGCCGCCGCCCAGCCACGGCGCTCCCAGCCGCGCTCCGCGGCCGCGGACGCGCCGTCGCCGCCGGCGGCCATGGCGGGGCCAAGGGCCGCCTCAACCAGCAGCAGTGCCCCCTTCAGCTCCCCGGTAGCGGCGGTGGCGTCGCCGCCGCCGCTGTTTAGCTGCAGCAGCGCAATCTGCGCACGGGCTGCCTCTGGCACCAGCCGCGCGGCGTGCGGCACGAGGACGTGCGCGGCCTCGGCGACCCCCTCGCCTCCCTCGTCTCCCTGCTGCTTCTGGTCCTGTTCCTGCTGCTGTTCCTGCTGCTGCTGCTGCTGCTGCTGCTGCTGCTGCTGCTGCTGCTGCTGCTGCTGCTGCTGCTGTGGCCGCAACGCAGGCACCACCAGCGGCCGCCCCGGCATCGCAGCTTCCACCGCAGCTTCCACCCGCGCGAGCCCCGCCGCCAGGTGGCCCTCGCGCGCGCCCTTGGGCCGAAGGCATCCCCGCAGATGCCGCAACTGCTCATGCCGCAGCAGCAGGCCCCAGCCCCGGCCCTCGTCCACCGCGCACTCGGCGCCGCCCTCGACCCACACGCGCCCCCAGTCCTCCTCCGCACCCGCCGACGCGGATGCCGGCAGCGGGAACGCCGCCGCAACCGCCGCGCCCGCGCCAGCGGCCGGCGCCCCCGGCCCGGCTGCGGCCCCGCCGCCGCCCTCTTGGCCGCCGCTGCCGCCCGGCGCGAACAGCCAGTAGCGGTTGTGGCGGCGGTCAAGACCGATGGGCTCGTGCCTTATCTGGCAGGCGTCCTCCACCCGCTGCATCGCCCTCGCCCGCGCCCGCAGCCGCCGCCGCTGCTCCCGCTCCGCCGCCGCATCCCCGCCGCCTGCCGCCGCGCCGATGCCGGCCGCGCCGGCGGCGGCCTTGGCGGCTGCTGCTGCGGCGGCGGCGAGCGCCTCGGCGCCGATGGGTTCGCCGGCGGCCTGGCGCTGCTGCAGCTCCTCCAGTCGGCGCTGCGCCTCCTCAGACGCCGCCCTGGCGCGGAGCAGCCCCTCCTCCTCGCGGCGCCGCTTGTCGGCCTGGTCCGACGATGCCATTCAAAAGTTTGGGTAGAGGATGGATTTCAATAGGAAGCTTCGGTCACAAAGACTGATTGTTGGGGCTGTGGGTGGCCTCTGCTGGCCGGCGCAAGCCCCGCTTCCTCACCCTAAACACAGCCCTCACTTGCTGACGACCAGCAGCGCGCCAGCGCGCGGAGCCAAGCGGCGCTGCCAATCCCTTGCAAATCTCAGCCCCTCCCCTCGACCGGTCCTACTCACCTGCACACGCACACAAATACTCACCTGCACGCACACATTAACGTACACACACGTGTATGAAACACACATGCGCACGCATGTACACATGCCCCTCCTTCCGGCCCCCAACCCCGACCCACCTTCAGCTCCTCCTGCACCTGCCGCCGCGCCGCCTGCGCCTCGTCCGTGCGCCAATCGATCTCCGCCCTCAGCGTCGGCAGGCACAGCGCCTGGTGCACCAGCCAGTCGAGAGCGGCCATCCGCAGGGCAAAGGGCAGGGCGTCGTAGTCGCAGTCCGCCAGCAGGGCCACCCAGGGCTCCCCTGACGCCGCGGCGGCGTGCGCCACGTCGTCGTCGCTGCAGGTGGGATGATGATGCGCGAGTGCGTGCGTGCGTGCATGCGTGCGTGAGTGCGTGTGTGTGTGTGTGTGTGTGTGTGTGTGTGTGTGCGCGCACACGCGCGTATGTGTGTGGGTAAGGAATGGGGAGGGGTGGGCCGCTTTGTGGCGGGTGCCACGGCTCAAACAATGACTTCGTGTGTATTACTAAGTAAAGCGGTTTGAGGAGCTTAGATGACGATTGAGGTTGCGGGATGAGTTCAGCAACAAATCATCAGGGCAAAAGGGAGGGGATAAGGCGCTGCAAGACACAGGGCGGGGAGGGGGGGAGGAGGGCGAAGGCGTCGCGGCCCCGCTACATGCAAGGGCGGCCCCCGCCCTGCCCCCGAACAGTTATCGGAGGGCTCGAACAATCCCGCGCCCCACCTCTCGTTCCCATCCGCGCCGTCCTGCTTGCCGGCCGCCGCCTCCTCTTGCCCCGCCGCGCCCCCCGCGGCCTCCCCAGCCGCCTCAGCAGCCCCGTCGCCGCCGCCGCCCTCCGCCTCCGCATCCGCCTCTGCCTTTACCCGCGCCTCCGCCTCCGCCGCCTCCCGCGCCGCCGCCGCCTTGGCGCGCTGCCTCTCCATCTTCCCGTGGTGTTGCAGGTGCGGCTGCAGCGCCCAGGTGTTGACTTTGACTTTTTGGAAGATGGCGTCCCGCGAGAGGGCGCCCCCGACAGTCGACTCTGGGCTTTTGCTGGTGGATAGGTCCCGAAGGCCGCGCGCCTCGATGGCGGCGGCGACGTCGGGCAGCGCCATGCCGTTGTGGTCAGCCTCCACCAGGATCTGGGTTTTTGAGATGTCGGAAGTCGAAGGGTCAGATCGATCGGGGTATGGTATGGTCGTGCGATGATCGTCCGGCCGAGCCCAAAGCGGGGGGGTGGACAGGCGAGCTCGCCAAAGGTTTGCCGAGCTGAGCGCTCGTCAGCAAACAATGGCAAACGATGGATGTGCGGCGGATGGGCACACAGTGCAAGGTCCCTCGCCCGAGGCCCAAGCAAGCACGGCAGCCGCGCCGGCAACGGTCGCGCCGATGGCTGCAAGCTAGACGGTGTGCGTGCTTCCTCCCGCCTGTTTCCCATGCAACCCCACCCGCCAGCAGGCGCCCTTGACGGTGTGGACGTTGCCAAACCGCTGCGGCAGCTTCAGGCGCGCGACGGTGCCGTCCGGGTAGCGGTACACAACCAGGT